CAGGTTCAGGGATGACAGGTCTACCGGGACCCAGACAGAGAGTAGAGCGAGGGCAGGGTCCACTCTGGGGTGCCTGGACCACAGGGCACATCTAGAGGGAAAACATCAGGGACATTTTCACGGGGTTTTACTCCCAGATAAAGGTGTCTGCAAAGGAAACATCGGTGTGGATTACAAAGGAAACAGGTATAGAATCCACAAAGGGTGATGAAAATGTTCATTCTTATCCCTGGTCAGCCTGTGGTTTCTAAACCAGTCATCAAACCTGGGCTACTCATATATGAAATATTTATTGAAGCTGGCAGTGAGAAAGGGCCTGTGTTGAGCCTGGGCCCTTTTAGTATGGCACGGCGGAGGCTATGAAGTCAGACAGACCTCAGTTTGCTTCCATCCTGGCCGGTCTTGAGCTAGACTTTCAGTATGCCTGTCTGAGCAAATGTCTTTATTTCTACAATGAGGATAATAACAGCCCATGTAGGTTGCAGATAACAGCTGTGAGTCATGGTGAGCCATGGCTCAGGATGCTCTAAGCATTCAGAAAACAGGAGATGCCTGCACAACTGGAGAGCTACATCCCTGTTCTTCTGAATATAAGGGGAAGCTGCATTATGGTTTGGTCTGAGACCATCCAGCATACTCGTTTTTCTCCCACAGATACTACGACAAGAAATACCAAGTCTTCCTGAAGCTGGTTGAGCACCAGAAGGAATATGCAGCAATCATGAAAGGAGACTGAAGAGACCTTGCAGGTGTCGGTGCCAGAAGGTTCTTCGACACTGCTTCGGGGACCTCTGTCTTCTCATCTTATATTCGAGATCCTTTAGGTATCGCTTTATCATTTCTGTATCGTCTTTTAATAAAGACAACTGAGACGTGTACAACCAGAACTAGAGTCTTCCATTTCAAAGCACCACCATTATATAGCTGGCAGTTTCTGCAGAAACCACCAGAAAGACACAAGTTTCACACAGGGTCCCAGGGTCTCCTGTGCCACTAGACCTTGGGGCTCAGTCAGTCCAGGTAAAGATCGTACTTGGTGGCTGAGTGTCAGCCCTTGAATGAAAGACTTGCATGGCTGTAGGTAGTCTAATGCTTATTTTATAGGTGGCCAAAAGCTTATTCTCAACCTCTTATTTTGGAAATAATTTCAGACTTACAAGAAGGTGGCAAGAGTAGGGATGATACAAGAAACACCCATGCAACTACCTTTAACATTTCACCCCATTTGCTTTATCATGTGTACATTTTCTCTACACATGTGTATGCACACATGTCTGTATATATGAATTTTGGACTCATTTGAGAGTGAATTTCCACAGACTTAACTTCCAAAAAGCACTTTGATTCAATTTTCTGTTCGTATTCCAGTTTCGTCCATAACTCCAAGTCCTTTAGGGCAGTTTTCCCTTCCTGTACAGGATCCAGACTAGAATCAGACAGTGCATTTAATGACAGAATCCTCATCTTGCAATCCTCATATTAAAAAAAAGATACAGGTAGGAGTCGTGAACGGATCCAGGAGGGAATTTTGACAAGTCACAGGATGTATGCATGGTCTTAAAATGTCTCCTCACAGATAGTTTATTAGTTACAAGAGGAGAAATGACATTAATTATATTGGGACGAAATGGGACAGGATCTTGATTGGGTCATCAAAATTAATTTCAGATGGGTAGATGGACATCACGTGCCCCCAGATGTGAGAGCCTGAGGTCATAGCAACAGTCTGGCTAGGAATGCATAGTCTGAATCTAATCATTAAAAAAAAAAAAATCAGACAAACTCACAATGGGCAGCATTCTATTTTTTAATGGACTATATTCTTCAAAAATGTTTGTGTCATAAAGACAAAGAAAGGCTGTGGAAAGTTTCCAGATTAAAGGAAACTGAAGAAACATAATGGCTAAAAGCTTTTGATGTAGACAAGTATTTGGAAAAAAAAAAAAGAGAGAGAGAGAGTTCCTTTGTTGACACCATAATACATGCATAAACTCACACAGACACATAACGTATATATGCACACACTCACACGCCATCTCAGACCCACGAGTAACTACTAATGTTGAGTCTAGAGCCTTCAGAAGTCAGATGAGTTTGGATAGAGGACGTATAGGCTTCAGCAAGTAGAGGGAAAAATCACTATGAGTCAGTCAGCAAACATCTTGAAGTACTTACTCTGTTCCAGGTCTTGTGGAAAGCACTGGAGCACATGGATTAAATAAAAGCAGGGCCCAGAGGTCCCCCTTTACTGAGAGAGAGAGAGAGACATAAGTGAATCCATCAGAGCACATTGTAAGAGACGCTCCCGTAAAAGAGGGTCCCTGCTGCCTTGAAGAAGATCCAACACCCAGAAAAGGAGGAGGCAGCAGAGGGTTGACAGGTAGAAGGAAAGGCAGCATGGTGTAAGGGCTGTGGGCCCTGGCTTGGGACCCAGAGCTGCCTTTCCCTCTTATAGCTGTGTGACTTGAGAAAGACCCTTAACCTTCCTAAGACTCCGTTCCCTCGATTTCTAAAATGAAGATATTAACAGTACCTACTCTGCAAGATGACAGTGAGGCTTCAACGAGATGCTATGCGTAAGGCACTCAACTCAGCTGCCTAGGCCACATCGATCTTTTGCAGGGCCGGGTACCTAGAAGATGCTCAAAATAAGAACAGTAAAAGTTACTGAGTAGGACGACCCCACCCAGTTGTGAAGGCTAGCTCTACGATGGCATTCTATGGTGTCCAAAGGATATCGACATCTTGGACACGGTCCAGGTTTAAGGTGGGAGTGGACGTCCAGTCTAGCAGCAAGAGAAAGCCCAGCTCATTCAGCTAGACACCAGCCAGCACTTAGGGAGCGGAGGGGGTGATGGAGGAGGACTGGGGAGTCAGACTCAGCACCTCAGAGGAAAAGTCAGGAACAGTAGGACCCAGGCAGGAAGTCAGGACCACAGCCAGACAAGTTCCAACCGCTAACGCTGATCAGCACTGACTCGGACACGGGGACAGGCCTAGGCTTGCTCTGGCAAAGCAGGAGTGAATGCAGTAGCTGCCCACGGCAGGAACACGGAGGTTGGGGAATGAAGAATGACTAGCTGTTTTCCTCTGTGTTCTCTCCAGTTCTTGCTCCAGGGCTGCGAGGCAGGCAGCCCTAACCTCACGCCCCAGCTGAGAAAGTGAGGCTCGGCACGGAGAGGCAGCTTGTCCAGAGTCTGCCAGTGGCAGAGGCAGTATTCACTTTCAGAATCACCCTGGGGCAGAGCATTGGGGGTCACCCCCTTGTGATAGTTGGGGAGCAATTCTGCCCCCAGCACTCGCTCTTTAGTCCCAGGGCATATGCTGTGGGGGACCCATGCTCCAAGGCCAATTGCTTGTCCCACTCAAACCTTGGGTTCCCAACACTTTATAGAAAAAGGAAAACATACCCAGATGAGGCAAAGATTATAGGAACACTAGGAAGCCTCTGGCATCTCAACAGTGATGAGGAGCCTGATAGAAGGGCTGAAAGGTCTTGGGCGAGATTCTTAACCTCCAGGCCTCAGTTTCCTTGTCCATGGATGAGATAATCTGCTACCTACCTTGTAGAGTTAGTGGTAAGGAATCTGAGAAACCTACGTGTAAGGTCCCTAGCATGGTGCCTTGCAGATAATAGCAGTCCCCAGATAACAGCTTCTACAGGGTTCTCTTTGGGCCATCTGGCTGGAGGGTTAATTCCTAAGAAAATGATTCAGGTCCCTACTCTAAGGCCAGCGTGTTAGAAAAACGTAAGTGTCTATGTGGATTTCTAGAACCATGTATAGCTCGAGAACAAAGATTTTAATGATTCCAACACTCACCTTCCTGCCCTGAGAAAGGGGGCTTTATTGAATGCACACATGTGAAGGGTAAGTATGTTTTGCTTTTATGAATAAGAATTACAATGTGACCAGAGTGGTTTGTGGGATTTTTGTTTTGTTTTGCTGCCTACTGAAAGCTTTTCTTTCAAGTTGAAGCCAGCCTGGCTTAACGAATCCTTTTGCCAAGGAACACATTGTATAGGTTTTTAGTTTTGACCAAAAATCCTTGCCATATGTGAAGAACATAAGTGTGGTTTTCAGAAGAGCCCAAGAGAACAAAAGCAGGGAGAGGGAGGCAGGGAATAAAAGACCAGGACAGCCAAATGGTCTGACATGTTGCAGAGGTGCCGTAACCCACAGACCCGACGCCACAGTTTGCTGGGGTCCAAATGAGGCATCCAGACGGGATGCCCTCCCCTGGGGAGACCCAGGCTGGGTGCCGGACTTTATATCCAGAGTATCCTGCTTGTGGTACCAGTTGCGCCAGGAAGTAGAGGGATAAATGGATGGAAGTTCCAAAGGGAGCAGGGGAAAACACAGTAGGATACGCCCCGGAAACTCCCACCTGGAAAGAAGGACCAAATCAGCAGGTGTCAGGAGGAAGCTAAAAAATTTTTTTAAAGATTTTATTTATTTGACAGAGATCACAAGTAGGCAGAGAGGCAGGCAGAGGGGCGGGGAAGCAGGCTCCCTGCTGAGCAGAGATCCCAATGTGGGGCTCAGTCCCAGGACCTTGGGATCATGACCCAAGCTGAAGGCAGAGGCTTTAACCCACTGAGCCACCCAGGTGCCCCGGGAGGAAGCTAAAATATTAACATGATCCGCTATTTCTCCCAAGCCTGAGATTAATCAGGTTCTTTGGGGTTGTTTCTTTGTTCCGCCTGTCACTGGCCTGTGAACTCTTGCATGGCGAACTGACTCTCATAGGGTCCATGTCCTCTGCACCTGAACAGTGCCAGCATGCCTGGGTGCTCCATGGATGAACAAACACACAAACACAAGATACTTTTCTGCACAAAGTAGACTAGGAGAACTAGAAATACCTCACAAGTACCTCACTTTGGGGCCAATCTTATGATACATGTTCATATGCCTTCATTTAGGCGAAGCCAAACACTTGAAAGCTGGCCATGGTCCATCCTTTAAGGATTAAGAAAATCATGCCTTATACCTAACAAGTTGCTTTTAGGATTTTATTGCACACACATACAGATAACCACACACCTTCATTGTGGATTGTAGTTCAAGCTCCGAAACCTTCTGCAGATTTTCAGTGTTGTTCCAGACCATTTCCCGTATGGTCCCTTAGGGGAAGCCAGTTGCGTCCTAGTTTAGAAATAGCCATTGTTCAGCTTTGCCACAGTACGCATGCTTTCAAAATTCAAGGGCATAGTTACAGATAATTACCATCAAAGGATTTAAAATGAAGGACATTGTCGCTAAACAAGAAACTAACGACTGAGTGGGGCTGTGTAATGTAATTATACTTAAGATGGGCCTTCTGATGAATCACAGAGGAATCTTTGTGCTGCCTTGTGTCTCCATAAATGCACTTAACTTCTGTTGACAGTAATAGAAGGGAGTCAAATATAAAAAGCTCCCACCCCCCCCTCGGTTTTCCAGTTTCTAGAGGGAGAATTTAAAAAGTGCATTGTTTAAAAGGATGTTTTATCCAGTACTTCTGAATATTCGACAATTGTATGAAGTCATGAAACAAAAGTAACTTAAAAACAAATGCTACCACTAATCAGTTCAGGTGTTATGTATCATGAACATACCCAGAATCTTATGGTCAATGTCCATTCTGCACAGATGACGACTTAAAGATTACATATTTAAATAACTGTTTCTAAGGACCTCATTTTTATTTACTTATGTCCTGCTGGAAGCCTTCAGTAGAAGTGTTTCTTTTTTTTTTTTTTTTTTTTTATTAAAAATCGGGGGCGTGGGGGATCCCGGCTGCCTGCCGGACAACATTAACACATTTGAGGGGGAAGATGTGTGTCTGATATTTAGACAAAGCCAATGAGGATGTCTCCCCTGACTGTTTCTTTACTGTCTTCATGTTGATTGCCAATACCTTACCTCAGCAACTCCTTGTAATGAACTGGTGAGGGAGGCCCGGCAAGGAGTGGGATCGCATCTTCCAGCGACAAAACCCACAGCTCCGAGGGTTTAAGTCACTGGCCCGAGATTGTGTGACTGCAACACGGAGGCAGCAGGACTCCACCGCTTCTTCCTAAATAAATTCAATTAGCTTATTTGCTCAACAGAGGATGATTCATTAGTTCGCTAATTGCTCTCTCCTCCACGGTTCCCTTCTGTAGCAGATGTATAAATATCTAGGAGGCCCCTTCTGATGCTCATTGGTTGATCAAAGTCCTGTGTTATTTCTCTTGGCAAGCAGAGTGGTAAAGTGAGAAAGCCTCCAGCCATGGAGTCACTGAGTCCTTCACATCGCAGCTCCCCTGCTTACTAATGGATGTGGTATGTGACCTCCCGCGAGCCGGTTGACCTCTGCGTCTCTGTTTCTTATCCTATAACGTAGGAGGAAAGAAAATCTGCCTTGTGGCTGATGTGAGGAATAAATGGGATGATGTTTCCAAGTGCCCAGCACCATGCCTCACATAAAATAGAAGTACCACAAATTCCAGTTTTTCTCCTCAACCAGTCCGTTTCTACGTTAGCAGATTTCTAGAAGCATTGCTTCAGGTCAAGGTGGACGACGTCATCTCCTGTTTCCAGGAGTAAATCTTCTGGGTTCCATCACCAACAACCCAGCTAGCCATTGAGCTTTTGCAATGTCAGGAGATCTGGAACAGTCCCTGTTGATGCACTAAGGGGCCAGCATTAGGCTTAAGGGAGAGGGGACAGACATATCCAGGAACAGATTTCACAGAAATGTCGAGCGAGGTGCCAAGGAGCATCAGAGTTGATAGGCACTTCAAGAGGCCCAAGGATGCCAGTAACATGGGTGTGTCTGGAGAGGCTCATCCAGAAATGAGCAAAGTGGAAACATGTCCAGCCCTGACTTTCTGAGATCTGTTAAGCTCTAGGTACTGAACGTCTTCTCCCTTTAGATTCAGCTCTGCTCCATCTCTGAGGTGACCAAGACAGAGCAGGCCATATGTATCTGGTTCAAACCAGCCCTCTTTTTACCATTAGCCCCTGGCACCTGGAGCCTCACCAAATCATAGACTTCTCCCCTAAAATATAAATACATGTTTGTCAAATCCAGCATGACCCCTTAACGCTGTGCCATGATCCTTTGCTAATCACAAAGCGAGAGAAATGTTGAGTCCTCTCACATGGCACACTGAATTATTCCTAAGCCGTACGTCAAAGTTCACACCTCATGTTACATTTCATTACACCTGCAATTCTCCTGAGCTCAGGCTTTGTTCACTTATTCTCTTATTTCAGGCCTCACTACTTCTTTCAAATTTGACTTTTGAAACTCTCTGTGGCTTTCCTTCAACCACAGGTTGGTTAAATTCTCTTTCCTGCTCCTCTGACTTAAAATCATCTCTCCCGTCCTACCTGGCCCCAGAAAGTCCCGTCTCAAGTTAAGCCACGTGAAAGGGTTATTGCCCTGCACTCAGCTAATAGAAACCAAGGCTAAGTGCCTCATTGGGCCTCCAGTCTTCCTCCTAGGGCTAGAATCCTGCCTTGAATTTTAGGCTGCTTGGCTAGAATCCTGATACATTATCTAACATTTAGCAAATGCCAAATCCAGTGCCCTATAATGCTCTAGCCACCAACCTGGGCCTTAGACAAACCTCCCAGAAAGGATCCAAGGTACTCAGGCATACTTTCTGACTAGAAACTTCTATCACTATGCCAACCATTCTGATGTGAGTGATAGCAGTTGATGGTGGGTGTTCTCTGTTTCCTGTTCTGGCCCCCTTGTGGTTAAGAGGGATCTTGTAACCAGGTCTGATTAATGAGCCGTCGGGAGATGGTGGGTGTTATTTCTGGACCAAGTCCTTGATTGTCAGTGTGTGAACCCCCAGAGCTTGCTTTTCTGTTATGGAACAACTAGCAATGTTCCAGATGGGGATTCTCCTTCAGCCTGGGTTCCAGAGTGAAGATGACTCAGAGCACCCCACAATGAACACGTAGCTTAAAGTAAGACATCAACTTTTGTTGTGGAAAACAGAATTTTAAGGTTGTTCCTTACCTCTGCATCATCGATCTTCACTGTTAATATCCTATACTATTTGAGCTACATTGACCCCTATGAGGCCAACTTCACCATGATCAGAACAACAGGCTCAGTCTTGCATCGGGAAAGACTTGTAGCTAAATTCATCCCCATGGTCTGAGCCCTGAACAACCCGTCATAGGTCCTTGCCCCATAACCATGCACCGAATGCTCAATCTCACAGGAAATCAGCAGCATTTCTATGCCAGGATTTCCCAATAGTGACTTACACGATATTTATTTCCTTTATAAGAAATACAGAGGCAAGTTGTCATTAAGTTGACTTGTGGATTCAACCCTCCCACCAGAGATCCAAGCTCTTTTATCCTTCCGTTCCCCCAGCCGTTGACCTCAGGTTTGTCACTCCTGATTGCACTATGCCACAGCCTCCAGAGGCATCCTGTTTTTCAGGTAACAGCATCCAAAGCATAATAAAAAGTTCTCTCTATGCCACCACCTTTTTTTTTTTTTTTTTTTTTTAAATCAAAGAACATCCCCTAAGTGAACTTCTTTGGTCTCCCTGGCCAGATTGCGCATCCCCAGCCTGCCGCTAGGGACTGGCAAGGCTGGTTTAGAGACCTCATGATGTACTGGGACTGGGCATGCTGCTATTCCAATGAAGTCTTGGGAGCACAGGGAAGCCAACATATTTTACCAAAATAATGATAGGTTTTCCTTGGAAAAGAAAGAGCCATGGTCAACTAAGTTTGGAAAACAGTGAGTTAAATAGGCCTTGTTCTTACAGAATATCTTAGAATAGTCTATTGATATGCTATGTACATTGTGACTCTCCAATAGAGAGGGAAGCTGTGAAGCATATCCCAGACTTACTCCATCAAAGGTTTGTACAGAGCATCTCATTGTACTCATGTAGAACCGCCCCAGTAATTTGGACCCTAATTAACCAGGAGGTCATAATGTTTTGACCGGAGTTGTATGAATGTTTTCTTTCATGTGAACTGTGAATAGGTTTACTCAGCAAATTAATGGCTACTAAATGAAATTTGGTTGTTTTACCTAATTATAGAAACAAAATGCTATTCACTCCTTTACTACATCAATTTACTATATTCACTGCTTCATCGAATAATGTCTTACAAATGAATGTTACTAATTATCAATGTCTAAGCTAGTCATTAAAAATAGGCTCAAAGAAGACCTCAATTTGGAAATGCATTGTAAGAAGTCTTTCAATTAAATTATCCTTTCAGTTAAATTAAATCGTAGCTCTAGAATAACCATAAATCGAACCACTGGGATAGCAAGTGTCAAATGCTAATAATACAATCCTGCATTTCTGTGTGATCTTTTTAAAGTTAGTATTTCCATCTATTCTAACTTTTAAGTCTTCCTCTTATCTGTTATATATTCCAGGTAGGAAATGCCCTAGCCACACACAGCAGGCTGAAGACATCTCCCTCATCTCTCTTAATGTCCCTTTCCTGCCCACTCTAACCCTAAACCTGCACACAGACGTCACAGACCACCTTAACATAACATTAAGCCTTTGGCTAAAAAGAGTAGAAGGTTCTTCACGTGAGACTAAGCAAATACGAAAGGCTAATAGACCGCTGGTTCTTTTATGACCCATGGAGTTTTTAATACTAAATTCCATGAGTTGCACTAAAGACATGCTGGTTGAATTCCAATATTGTATAGAAATTTTAATATCATCCTTTTGACAATATGCTTCTAAGATTTTTAGTTTGTTACACTTACATGATTTTAGAAGACATTTTGGTATACACAAGATAAAAACTTGCTACAATTAAGAAAGATTTGAAGAAACCATGAAGAGTTATGTTAATAGCAAACACATGTTTATTTTTTGTGCAAATGTGCATTTTCCTTTTTGACATCTACATAGTAATTTTTAAAGTATGATTTCAGAAACATATGGCTTAGCTGTTCTACACAGGTGTTCTATAGTGCTGTGGGACATATTGTGCTTATAGATATTCAAGCATATGCTTCAATCCTACTCCTCTTACAACAAACACTTCTTAGACTTCCTGCTATTTATGTCAGGAACATGCATTTGGCCTTGATATCACCTGCTCTTTTTAATACAGGGGCTTACCAGGAAACTTCTGGGAGCTTATAAAATCTACAGGAAGTAAATACAATGTTGACTTTGTTGTAAAGGTGATTGACTTGGTAAGGAAGTAGTTAAAAAAAAATCCTTATGACTGTAAATGTAGCATGAGAGAACAATGTGTGCCCTTTTTAAGCCTTTCCTTATTATTTTACTCTCCCCATAACCCTTTGACATTTGTATAAAAACTTGGTGTTTTAAACATCACTGTTTCTCAGACTCTATTTTAATCACAGCCTTCATTTTCAAGAATATGACCGTCCATGTACCAAGAAGTATAGCTAATAGTAATAGTGGTTAATGTTGGATAAGCGCTATCAAAGACTATTAGGTCATATTAAAATAATACTAGAGCCAACATGAAGGGTTTTCTACTGGCCAAAGATAGGAAAAATTTTACATCAAAAAAGTAATGACGGGACGCCTGGGTGGTTCAGCTGGTTAAGCGACTGCCTTCAGCTCAGGTCATGATCCTGGAGTCCGGGGATCAAGTCCCATACTGGGCTCCCTGCTCGGCAGGGAGTCTGCTTCTCTTTCTGACCCTCCCACTTCTCATGATCATTCTCTCTCTCACACTCTCTCTCTCAAATAAATAAATAAAATCTTTTTTAAAAAAAGTAATGACTATAATGTATTAATACACACATATCAAATATATAAACATCCATGAGTGGCCCCTGAATATAGACATGACTTAATTTATACTTACCCACTAGATAACTCCGCAGCATACTGTACATATATTTATACAAATATATTTGGCCAAATCCTTCCACCTTGGGCCTGAGTCTAGGGTGATATGCAACTATAATTAGTGTTTTTAGGGAAATGGAGGTTCATGTTTCTTAACAGAGAAGAATAGGTTGTCTTCTCAAATTTGGAGAGCACCAAGGATCATAAGAATGTTATCTGTATTAGGGTTCTTCAGAGAAGCAGAGCCAATAGTACATATAAATGTAGATAAAGACACACACACACACACACACACACACATAGATGTATATGTGTATGTAAAGCGATGTATTGTAAGGAATTGGCTGAGAAGTTCCACAATCTGTTCTCTGCAAGCTGGAAACTCAGGAAATCTGGTGGCATACTCTAGCCTGAGGACCAGGAGAGCTGATGGTGTAAATCCTAGTAGGAGGGCAAGAAAAAACAATGTCCCAGCTCACTCAGTCCAGCAGAGATCAGATTCTCCCTCTGCCCTTTTATTCTGTTCAGGCCCTCAAGAGATTGGACAATACCCACCCACTTTGAGGAGGGCAATCTGCTTTACTCAAGTCTGCAGATCTAATCTCATCCAAAACACCCTCACGGACACACCAGGAAATAATGTTTAATCAAATGTCTGGGCATCCCATGGCCCTGTTAAATTGACAAACATCAACCATCACATCATCCAAATTCAGATCCACGGTTCCTCTGATCTACTGACCCTCACTCCCAGCTGCATATTAGAATTACCTGCTGAGCTTGAACCCCGCGTCAACAGACTTGAACTGAATTTCTCTGGGATGTGGCCTATTTTTATGTTTGAAAATGCCGAAGTAATTCTAAAGTGCACCTGGCATTAAGAACCATTTCAGTCAGGGCACCTGGGTGGCTCAGTGGGCTGGGCCTCTGCCTTCAGCTCGGGTCATGATCTCAGGGTCCTGGGGTCGAGTCCCGCATTGGGCTCTCTGCTCAGAGGGGAGCCTGCTTCCTCCTCTCTCTCTCTGCCTGCCTCTCTGCCAAATAAATAAATAAATAAATAAATAGAAAGAACCATTTCAATCTAACTATGGCTCCAACCTCGTGCTGTCTCTGGGAGTGGGCTCTATGGAACAGGAATGAGAAAGAACATCCTTCAGAAAATATACTTTAAAACACCATCACCAACAATAACAAGCCACTAAATGCCAGACATACCAGATCAGACAATATTATTTATTTAATCCTCTAAAAAAAAAAAAGAAAGAAAACACTGTAAGGGACATACTATTATCTGTATTTTTACAGATAAATAAACTGACACACAAGTTAAATAAATGATCGATGGTCACAAAGCCAGTACATAGTGAAGCCAAGACTTACACCAGGTCTGCAGGAATGCAAAACCTGTTCTTCACAATATCACATTTCAGATACATTTTGCTTCTCACTCTTAGCTAACAATGGTCTGCTGTCTAGGCTGAGCAGATCACAGCTGAGTATCAGCCTGTAGTGATCAAGATTTTCATTATTCTTCATCAAATAGCCATCTCTGAGGAAGTGAATAATGCCAGATCAAATTTTACAGATGATAGAAAGAAGGCATATATGATTTGTGACTTGTTTGAGAGTACAGCATAAGGCTACTGGTTCTTCTGAATTACTGAATAATAATGTTTTAAATACATGGTACCTACTGGTAATAAAGTATATATTTTAAGTGCAGTGGTCAATATTTGATAGCTATTACTACTTTGGTTATTTTTTTTTTAAGATTTTTTATTTTTTCAAGAGAGAAAAAAAGGAGAGAGAGCACGAGCAGGGGGAGGGGCAGAGGGAGAAGCAGATTTCCTGCTGAGCAGGG